TTTACTTCTGGGTCCTTATTATGAGGCCTCTTAACCCAGTGATTCCCAACTTTGCTGCACATTAGAATCTAGTGGGAAGCCTTAAAAAATCCGGATATCTAGATTACACCCATACCTATTAAGTGGAGGGAGAAAGGTAATACAGACATTGTATGTTGAAGGAACCCTAGCCTATTATGTGCACCTTTTTCAAATTCTGCCATCAGTGATGTTCCACTGGTTGCTTGAAACTATGGTGGAAGGTTTTATGCCACAGATATCAGCTTCAATCAGTGTTATTGTTCTTGTTTTCCTCCTATCTTGATTGCAAACCTTTACCAGCATATCACTGAAACCAGAAGTCTGTTTTCTGTTTTGTTTTGTTTGCAGTATTCGAACCCAGGGGCTCTCTGCCACTAAGCTACATCCCCAGTTCTTTTCATTTTTATTTTGAGACAGGATCTCCCTAAGTTGCCCAGGCTGGCTTTGAACTTGTGATCCTCCTGCCTCTGCTGCCTCAGTATCTAGGATTACAGGCATGTGTCACTGTGCCCAGCTCATTATTGTCATTTTGATGAAAAATGGCTTCTATTTGGTGTCCAAGCTGGAAATTGATCCACAGGACACATTCTGAAACATCATTATGAAACATTATGAAACATCTCTCATTTGATTGCTATGTCTAATGCATGGGAGTTGCATTGGACTTTCATTTATTAAGATTTAAGAAGTCAAAGTAAAAAAAAAAGATACCTAAAACTTTAAGCATAATGATTTTATGATATATTTTAAACTCTTTAACAACTAACTTTAAGTTAAAATGCTAATCACTGATTGGGGAAAGTTTGGAGCATTGCCTAATTCACATGGCCAAGGATGTGGGTCATGGTTAAGATTTGGTCCTAAGGTTTGGAGCTGGGATAATAAATATTCCTTCTATGCAGGGACTGAAAGATAGAGGGGGGGAAATGTGGCCAAAGTTCTCAGATATTTGCAAACGGAACTCTCTTGACACTCAGAGACTGTTTTGTTGAGTTGGGTGGAGGCCCAACAGTGAGAGAGAGGCCCAGCCAGCATGTGAACATAGACTTGTCTATCTTCTCCTAGACATTGGCAGGTTGCCACATCCAAATCTCTATCTCATTTGCATTGACTCCTGACTCCTGACTCCTTCCCCTTCCCTTCCCCTACACCAGCTCTTCCCCTGACCTCTCTGGCTTCCCCTACTGATCCTTCCTTTAGCTGATCCTAGACATGCCCTCTGTCCTACAGCACTACAAAATTCCTCAAAGGTTTTCAGCCTTGCTCACACTTCTGTGTATCAAGCCTCTAGCTTTATTTTGGCACTGACAGCTTTATGCTGTCACAAGGCTGATAGAGAGCCCGAAGGACTCAGGAAAATGGATGAGGTGAAATGAGAGAGACATTTTACAATTTTCTAAGATTTAAGTATCACCTCGCATCCCCAAGAACCAACTTCCCAAGAAGAAGAGCACTGCAAGTAGAGCCAACAGGAAAAAAAAAAAAAAAAGGCAAGTAAATAATACAGAGAAGTAAGGAGGAAAACCACTATACAGAGTGGTCACTCTGGTTCTGGGATTGCTCTAGATGTTTCCTATAGTAGCCACATAACCTTATTTAAATTTCTCAATATTATGCTCTCCTTTAAAACAGGTATTACTACTCCCATTACACAGATAAGAAAACTGAAAAGCATAAGGTGCCCAAGGTCACATGCTTAGAAAGTTTTTTGCAGTATTGTATGCTTTCAATAAATGTGGCAGACAAAAAAAAAAAATGTGGCAGACAATGAATGTCTAAGTTCTTCAGGGGAGGGAGAGATCTAGAAGGCCTAGTATCAGAGAAAATCTTCATGGAAGATCTGAGGTTCCAACAGCAATACCTTGAATAGTGAGTAGAACTTCAGTAGAAGAGGAAGTGGAAGGATAAGCCAGGCCTGCAGGCAGTAGCCAGGGCTTAGAGGAAGTGTGATCCAGAAGGGGTATCTATTGAAGGTCAAAGGTGATTCTACCCGCTTTTTCTACTGAGGGTTTTAGGTAAAAAGCATTAAAAAGGTTTCATTTACCCAGGGAAGAAGGCCCTTGACTGCCCGACTTGAAAGTGGAAGATTTTTCTGCCTATTCTCCTCTGTACCCCATTACTCCAAAGTATCACTTCTTGATCACTCTCTCCAGCTGTGGGGTGCCATGGGAGGGACAGATGGGTACGGTGGAGCTGCCCAGTCCCAGCTTTGTGTTTGAGTTTCCATAAGTTAGCTTGGCTTCCCGAGTCTATTTCTTCATTTGCAGAATGATGTTTTGGGGATCTAGCACATGCTCAACTCGGGTTGAACACCCAGCACTGTCAAATGAGAGGTGCACCCTAGGTTGTCCTTTAATCACCTTGGGCCTGACCCAAGTTCTACAAAGACTCTGCAGACAACTCATGGGGCGAGCCAGTTCTTGGAAGAAAGGGAAGATCACCTCCCACTTCCTGCACATTATATTCCTGCTTATGCATTCTGATGTCCTGCTTGCTTTTTTAGGCTCTAAGTGCTATCTTGCTGACTCACTTCCGACTTCTCGTTCATCATGCTCCCGCTCCTGAAAATGGAACAGAATGGGAAGGGCTGGAAATTGTACTGTCTGGTGAAGTATTTAACGGAGCAGGCATCCACGTGGATTGAAATGCTGGGGATATGAGCTGAGCCGTGCCCAAAGTATATTTCTCATCTGACACTTAGGGCACTTGGCCTTGGGTTGTAATACTAATAATAACCACCCCGATTACTGCCACTGATGAGAAGCCAGCAGGCCGTGGGCTATGTGCTTTCCACTGTCTCTTTGAATCATCACAGCTGAAGAAGTCAGGGATCCTCTTTATTTCACAGATAAGGATGTTCACACTAAGATAAATTAAGGAATGTGCCCAAGGTCACATAACTCAGTAAGGGATAGAGCAAGAATTCAAACCCATGATCTAGATCTGTGCTAGTACGGTTGCTGTGAGTTGCATGTGGCTAATGAGCACTTGAAATGTGACAGAGAAAACTGAACTTTCAATTCAGTTGAGTGGTGCTGTATGTAAATGCAAAATACATACCAGATTTCAAAGACTTGGTATATTTACATATATTATAGGTTAAAATGACAATCTTTAGAGTATATTGGGTTAAATAAAAAATATATAAAATGATTCTACCTGTTTGTTTTAGCTTTTTAATGTAATTACAGGAAAATTTAAAATCTAACATATGGTTTTTCTATTTCTATAGGGCAGCACTGATCTATATCGTGAACATTAAGTGGTCACACGACTAATGATTTCCCAATATTTTTTATAACTGGGGTGGGGCACAGATCTTCTACTTGTATATTTTATTTGTGTATAAATTATAAACATGCACACCACTCTTTAGTATTATGTACACTATCAAACACTAACAAAATGAACATTGAAAAAAAGTGAAATAAAATGGAAATAGAAGTAGTGCTAATTTCTTCCAGGAGCCTAATAGGTCACTTTGTGTACCCCTTGGAGTGTGCACTCCCTAATATGGAAAATCTTGCTCCAAAAAATGTAGAGCTTCTGTAAGGCAGATACTAATACAAGTATCTCCCTGTCTTCCACACTGAAGCTTACACCATTACTAGACATAATTGGGGCTCAGTGTATGTTTGGGGAAGGAATAAGTAACTTGTAATGTGCCATCAGTTTCTGGTAGATTAGATTAATTAGTTTATTTCACATGTATGGAGCACTTCCTATGTGTTAGGCACTATAATAGGTTAAGCTGTAAGAAGACTAAGCTTCTTTCCTGTAGGTCAGTGCTTCTTTATGTAAGAATCATATGAAGGGCTGTTAAACAGATTCCTTACTTCTTTTTCTCATCCCTGATTCTGGTTCAGTAGGTCTGGGGTAGAACTAGAGGATTTGCATGGTTAAGAAGTTCCTAGGGTGTGCAGAGGAATATGTGAACAACAAATCCCACCACTATGTATAACAATAATGCATCATTTGAAAGAATGAGGGGGTCAGGAGAAGCTTCTGGAAACACACTTTAAAGGAGACTGATGTTCAATGGAAAATGGGAAAGGCATCCCAAATATAAAGTGTGAGTGAGGGTAGAAGAGAATTAATGTATATTGATTGAACTTTTTACTCTTTGACAAGCAGTTTTAAATATATCACCTCATTCAATTCTCACATCAAATTGATAAAGCACATATTATTTTAGTTGGGGCAACTGAGGCTGAGAAAGGCTAATCAAATCGTCTAAGTCATAGAGCTAGTAAATGACAGACTTGGATTTATACCTGGTCTCTGATATTCAGTAACTCATGGAAATCTTTAGTGTCTTTACCTTCTTCAGGCAATGTCCTAGGAATTAGGCATATGACACTGAGTAAGGCAGACAAACTCTCTGTCCGAGTCAAACTCAATAAAGCAACTAAAATATAGAGTTCTCAGTGCTATGAGGGAGGCAGTGCCATGAAGATATATAACACAGACACATAATCTAGAACAGGGGTAGTGAAAGCTTTGCAGGAAAATTTTACATGAACACTAGAAGGAGGAATTAGAGGAATGGAGCATGGGTACAGATTGTTTTGAACTGAAGATATGCAGTGAAGGTTGGGAGGCAACAAAGCATTTGAAGAACTGAAAGAAGTTCAGAATGTCTGAAGTATAGAGTGTGGAGATGAGAGATAAGGTCCTTGAAGTAGGTAGAAACCATGTCAGGCCAGGCTACTTAGTGTTATTGACTTTATTCAAGGGTAGAGGCACGGTCAGATGTGTACACTATTTCCCCCTATTTGCAGAGGAAACATTCCAAGACCCTCAGCAGATGCCTGAAATTGTGGATAATAACTAAGCAATTCCTAAACAATACATATATATATATATATATATATTTATATATTTCATATACATTTATGGACTTAAATAAATTAACAATTAAAATATAAAAAATCATGTAATCTTAAAAGTTTAATTTAAAAACTAGACACAGTAAGAGATTAATAACAATAACTAGTTATGAGTAGTTATTAAATAGGACAAATACAGGTTGAATATCCCTTATCCAAAATGTTGGGACCAGAAGCATTTTGTCTAAAACAAAGGACCATTTTTTGGTTGATTTTGGAACAGTATATAGTATAGATTTTTTGGAACTTGTGATCCTCCTGCCTCAACCTCTCAAGCCTCTGGGATTACAGGTGTGGGGCACCACACCAGCTGTGTCTGTGTTTTGACTATGATCTCTTATATGAAGTTGGAGTGGAAATTTTCATTGTGGCATCACACTGGCCCTCAAAAAGTTTCAGATTTTGGAGGATTTCCAATTTTGGATTTTTCAAATTAGGGATGTTCAACTGCATGTTGTATATACTGTAATAAAAGCTATGCAAACATGGTCTTTTTCCCTCAAAATATATCATTGTACTATACTCACCCTTTTTCTTCTGATGATTTGTGATGAAATGATGCCAAGGTGATGAGATGATGTGAGGAGAATGACTTAAGCATGTTGACCACTGGTCTAATAGTTAAGAGGGCTACTAAGTAAACAGAGAGCAAGTATACAGTGTGGGATGGCTTAAGATTTCATCCCACCACTCAGACTGGTGTGCCATTTACAAATTGTGTAATTTACAATTGTTTATTTCTGAATTTTCCATTTAATATTTTTGGTCTGAAGTGGATCATGGATAACTGGAATTGATGGAAAGTGAAAACTAGATAAGAGAGTACTACTATATTTTTACTTCTTATTTATTTATTTATTTGCTAATTGGTTATCAAGAAAACTGTTCTTTACCTCATATGTTTCATAGATCAAGAACACAGGTCAGTGACAAACATCTACAAAATGCAATAGAAAGAAATTCTTTACATTCTAAAATCACTTTTTACTTTGAAAGATACCAACCTTCTTCATCTCCTCTTTGATGGAATCATAATTTCTGTAGAGATCTGCACATCCCTTCTTTTTTGGTTCACACTTAAAGCTAAAACCCCCAGGGAGCAACGAATGCTCCAATAACATGAAATTGTAGCATCTTGGCTGGAAGGCCATACATTTGAAATGTGGTCAAAGCAGTGGAAGTTCTGGTAGTAGCGTCCTCAACATTAGCCTCCTTTCTGGACGATGAGAGTTCAAAATGTTACTTTCCCCTCAGCAAAAGATGGTTTAAAGGAGGGTAGCCAAGATGTATTAAAGATGTTAGTGGTGTCAATTTGGGTAATGCTGTGGTGATGAGAGAGGAAGGAGGAGGGATATTTAGAAGTATTTAAGATTTGATGATTGATTGGAAGAATAGTGAATAGGTAGGGAAAACTCAAAGATGATTTCCAGGTTTCTGATTACAGTTTTAGTAAAAAACAAAACAAAACAAAACAAAAAACGGTTTTGGCTGGGGTGCAGCTCAGTGGTAGAGCATATTCTTAGCATGACAGGCCCTGGGTTTGATCTCTAGGACCAAAACCCCAAAACAACAAGGTTTCTTAAGTCTATTATTTCACATTTTAAAAGAAGAGTTAATTCAGATAAGTGAAATAATGTAAAAGGATGATTTATTTTAGAAAGATTTCAATGACTAGAACTTACTTGATTAGAAAATTTAGGAGACAATTACTATTTTTGTGGTTAAGTTTATTTTTATTTTTTGGTTTTAATTCGTACCAACAGCTTTACCATCTGTTGAGAGGAAGTTCTGAATGCTGGAGATAACGCCTCTTTATGGTCAAGATCAAATTAACCTTGTTGGACCAGTCACAGGCTATGAACTGTCAGTCTACTGAGCTTCTTCTATGCCTGTCTTGTTGGGTAACCTTGAACATTTAGTTTCTGAGGCTCAACGTTCCTTTTTTTTTTCCAAACCTCTTCTCATCTTTCCACACCTTACGTCTTACAATGGATAGTAACTAGATAGCTCTTATCAATGGACCAGTGATGATTTGGATTACGCCCTCTAGGCTCGGTCCCGCCCCCTGATAGGCCACACCCCTTTTATTTGGCCACGCCCCTTGAGGAGTTCGTCTCCGATATGACAGCAAATTCCCCACAATCCTGCCCTATAGCAGATCTCAAAGGCGGGACTTAAACCAATCTTTTTTCCCATTTGTCAAATCATATGTCTATCTGGCCCCAGTTCCAGCCTACTTTATCTTCAACCCAAGGATTGGTTGCTCAGTTCTTTGTTCCTGGCTCATGATTGGCTCTTTCATTCCTCCCCTCTCTTCCAGCTTTTGCAGGCGGGATTAGCACGCAGCTTCCTGCTCCTGCCAAAAAAATAAAAGAAGAAAAAGAAAAGAGGAGAGAGGCGAAAGAAAATGTCACGGAGATCTTTGATTTTTAATTGGTTTTCAGCTTTGTCGATCAGACCAAACTCTACCTTCTGATTGGCCTTTCTGTCTGCCCATCCCGGATCGGGGGCGGGATTTCCCCAGGAGACCCACACCTTGTTGCCACTGGTCGAACAGTGCGCCTGTCTGAAGCTCCCGGCCCAGGATTGGAGGCGGACGCGGACAGGTGGGCGTGGATTGGCCAGGGCAACCGGTCAGTGTGAGGCGGGGGCGGGGCCTCGGCGGCTGGTTGCGCGTGTCCGCCGCTGGCTCCTCTCTATCCGGCTTTGCTAGGGGAGGTGAGTCCGGCCGCGGCGGCACCGGCGGCTGAGGAGGCGGCGGCTGAGGAGAAAGCGGCCGCAGCGGCTGAGGAGAAAGCAGCCGCGGGGGGGGGAGCCGGGGGGGGGAGACGGAGCAGCCTTAAGCCCTGCAGGGGCCGTCGCGCGGGGGGACCCACCCGCTCTCCCCCCCAACCCTCCTCAGCAGAAGCAGCCGGCGGCGGGGGCAGGAGTCAGCCCGCTTCCGATCGTACCCCGCCCGCCTCCCGGGGCTTCTATTCTTTGGCCCCGGGACCCTAACCTCCTACCGGGGCGGTTCCCTCTGTCTGGGCGTCCGAGTGCTGTCCATCTCTCTTTCATTCCTCCCTGCACCTCCTTACCTTTACTTTTGCCCCGGTTCTCTTTTCTCCTCTCTGCCCTGCCTGTCGCCTCTTTTCCTCACTTATTCCTCCAACCTTCTTCCCTGGCTCATTCTGCCCAGGAAAGTTTGGTACACCCCCCCCCCCATATCAGGTCAACCAGACTAAGAATAGGGGGAGATGTAGGAAGGCCTGAGAGTTCGAGGGGGGGGGAAGCTGGAAGCTGGTTTCCCTGAAAAATTTCCCCGTCTTTTTTTATTTAGGGTGGTTGGAATTTTTAAAAATTGTGTTTTTGAGGAGGTGGTAGGTGTTTAGAAAAGGATGTGGGAATGGAAGGGGTAGATGAGTCAACCCTCTTACAAGATTCCAAGGGTGGTGTATTACCTGATCCTTTTCGTGTGTGGAGTTCAGGGGGTCGGGAGGTTTGGCCTTTATTCCCATATTCAAAGTTGGAACCTCCCCCAAAGTAAGAATGGAGTTTTAGTACCACTTGTGGCAGGAATCCTGGGGGGAAGGGGTCCTTTTTTCCTTTTTTCTTTTCTTTTTCTCCTTTCCCCCCTCCCCCCCTTTTTTTTGGCAACCTACACCTTTCCACATACGCTCACCCAAAAATCAAACACCAAGATCCTCTAACTTGTTTGGATTGACTGATGAAGACATAAAGCCAGTTACACTCTATGATTTTTGAGGTGGAGTGAGTGGTTTTTCTTCATTTTTAAATGGCCAAATGACAGCTTGACCCAGTTTGCTTTCCAATCAAAGGGCATTTTTTTGAATGTCTCTTTGTGGCGCAAGAGCCAACGCAAAAATGATGGCGGCTTACAATGGCGGTACATCTGCAGCAGCAGCAGGTCACCACCACCACCATCACCACCACCTTCCACACCTTCCTCCTCCTCACCTTCACCACCACCATCACCCTCAACACCATCTTCATCCGGGGTCGGCTGCTGCTGTACACCCTGTACAGCAGCATACCTCTTCGGCTGCTGCGGCAGCCGCAGCAGCGGCCGCAGCTGCAGCCATGTTAAACCCTGGGCAGCAACAGCCATATTTCCCATCACCGGCACCGGGTCAGGCTCCTGGACCAGCTGCAGCAGCCCCAGCTCAGGTACAGGCTGCCGCAGCTGCTACAGTTAAGGCGCACCATCATCAGCACTCGCATCATCCACAACAGCAGCTGGATATTGAGCCGGATAGACCTATTGGATATGGAGCCTTTGGTGTTGTCTGGTGAGTATCAAAAGAGAAGCACAACTTCTTGTGGTGTCTCCTCATGGTTCTGATTGGGAGAGACATTCCTCATGGTTTTCTCCACATGACCAAAGTGAAGCAAGCTACTCAACTGTAGGAAGCCACCCTCACTTACATAGGCCTATTAAGGTTGGCTGTCTTAGGCCTATGCTTTTGAGTCATGGCAGATTTTGGTGGAGCTTCTTCTCATGAGTGATATACTTAAGTTTGTTGACAACCAAACTTTCCTATTCAGAAAGTCAGCAAGTCACTGACAAGTCAAGATCAGTAGATCAAGGTATGAAATACTTATTCCTACAAAGACTTTGGTCATCTCTCATGGGTTTGATTGAGTTTACATAGTTGCCCAATTGCAGCCAATGCCAAAATGACTGAACCAACTTGATTCCTTTGGAATAGTCTTCTCATCACTACTTTCTCATCCTTTACATCTTTTTGTGCCTTATTTTGTGATCTTGATCCCCACAAGGAAGGTAGATTTCATAGTTGAACCAGTTAAAATCACTGCTTGAGTGATTTATTTTAAACATAAAGCTACAGTTGGGAAGTATGTAGCTTTAGCCTTCTGATAAGAATGCATTAAATATAGCATCACACATGAGTACCACAAATGAGGTTAGTAGACTGTAGCTATGCAGTGGCCCACATTTGGTGTAATGTTTTAGTGTCACTTAGTGCCTCTTAAGTTGCTTTTAATCCCTTGGTCAGTTGCTATTGTAGGAAGTATACTTTTCAAACAAGTAAAATGCTTTACTTTTGCTAGTGCTAGGATATTTTTTGAAAGTCTATGGGTTTTTGAAATGCAACATTTTGTTCTATTTGCCATTCTTAAAGAGTATAGTTTATAATAAAATTTATGCCTATCAAAAATAGAGTGAATTAGGTTTTATTTTTTAAGGATTAAGGATTCCAGTGTGGATAGGTGAATTGGTATTTTCAGTGCTTTCAAAAATAGATTCTTGTTAATGTCTGGAAAAAACCCCCGTCACAACAGGAAAGTGAACTCTGGAACTACCTTGGTAAATATCTCCTTTTGTCCTTGTTTTGAGGCTAAAATTGATGAGTACCATTTGCATTATAACTTGCTATCTTTATAGTTCAGATTTTATAACCTAGACAGCTAAATGATCTGATTCTTCATCTTCTTCTTCCTCTTCTTTTTTAAAAAGTCCAATTTTTCTCAGCTGCTCTTCATGGAGATTGCTGCTGCTGCATTCTCCTTTCTCCAAGGTGTGTGGGTTTCCTAGTGGGAAAGAATATAGCTGATAATGGTACCTCTTCAGTCACTTTGCCTAGAGACCTGCCTGTTCCTGTCTTCCTCTTTTGCTTTCCATAGCCTATTCTCAGAGATTTCACAATGAACTTCCATTCCTTGCTTAACTCTTGAGGATTTCTAAGCTTTGGGGGCTAAGAGGAGATACAGGAAAACAGTTGTTCCTTTCTTTAAATTTTGTCATTGATTTACTTATTTATGAGAATTTGGATTTTTTTCTTTCTTAAACTCTGAGTGCTCTGATTTTAATGTTTTGCATTTAATGCTAAGAACTAGGGATACTGAAAGGGAAACAGGTTGCAGCATTCTTGAGTATATTCTAAAGGCATTATTCACTTACATTTATACCAAAAGGTAGTGTGAAGTAGAAGCTTAAGTTTTAGAAGTTTTAACTTCAAGTTTGTAGTACAGGAGAAAAAAAAATTTTTTTAAAGGGTCAAGGTGGTGAAGAACTTTTCATATAGCAAACATTCTGATAGTGTGTAATACAAATCACCCATATCTGAAAATCTAAATGTGTTTGATTTGAATCATTCTAGAGTTTCCTTGATTGACCTGTGGAACATACCATGGACTTGACATTTGCCTCTGTGCACCACATCTTCTTTTGAATACAGTTGTTTCACGTTTGCCTTGTCTCACTGACTACATTTGTAAGCCCTTTGAGGGTAGGGTTGTATCTACAAAAGTACTTCTTTAGTTCTCCCTAGCACCTAGCACACTGCTAAATTATCTTTAATGCTTGGTTATTTGGTGTCCTAGGCAGATTCTTCTTTGTTTTAACTTAAACAACAGAAATTTATTTCTCACAGTTCTGAAGGTTAGAAGTCCAAGATGTGGGTGTTAGCAGGTTTGATTCCTTCTGAGGCTTGGCTTCTCAGTTTGTAGGTGGCCGCTAGCTCATTGTGTCCTTATATAGCTGTATCCTCTGATGATCTGGTCTTTTTTTGTTTTTTTAAACCAAGTTTTTCCTTGTTTCCTCATTGAGTATTTTTATCAACTATTTCTGGTAAAATACAATTTAACATGAAGAAAGGAAAGAGTTCCCAAGTGTGTGTTTTTAGTATGCAAATACTTTTCTATTTTTATATTTACATATTGATGATTTTGTTGTCTGAATTGCTTAATGTATTTGGAATTAAGTGCTGAGTAAGATTGTTAAAACTAGAGATTGAAAACCAAACCAGTGTGAATTTGCACTAGTATTCTGAAACTCAAGACATTAATTAGTTTTTTTTCCACTTTGTACTGAAATAAGATTTTTTTAATTTGAGAGGTATCTTATGAGTCTGAAATAACTATTTTCTAAAATGATTAAAATGGAACAAAAAATGTTCTTCCAATGGTATATCACTTGATTCAATGCACCATATAACTACCTGGGTATCATGAGATCCACTTAGATTCAAACATACATTCATTAGTACATTTTGCAGGTATTCTTCTGGCATAGCATATGACAAGGAGCCATATCTGCTCTCAATTTATTTTTCTGGACATGCACTCAGGGATACTATCTGATGGTTAAAAAAGTGACTTGTAATTTTAAGGAATTTTGTTTTTACATATAGAAAAGAGATATTTATAGAAGTAATATAGCATTTTATTTTATATTTATTTTTTCCGTGATGCAGCATTTTACCATTCAGATTTATTATGGAACACTTTAGTTTACTTGATTATCTTTCTGCTGAATTTAACTAGTGGGATAACTTATCAATATTGGACAGTTGTATAAAAGAAGTGAATTACCCATTAAGTTGCTGGTAAAGATGGTGCTTTGACAGTTCAATTAAGGTTTCATTAACAACTGTCTGCTATGTTTTATCTCTAGTTTACCTGGTAATGTGATCATGGGTTAGCTTCAGATATATTCATTGCCAGTGATAGAGTTGCTTATGGGTTATCAAAACATATTTAATTCTACCTTTGTTATCAGATGTCAATGTTTCCAGATGCCCATATGGACATTTTAAAAATGTAACACATAATAGCCTACAAACAGAAATCTTACTCATTTGGTGAATAGAATATAAAATGTACCTTTTTGTACAGTGTAGTGCACATTTGCCAGAGAAAAATACTGTGCTTTAAAAGTATGACAACTTTGGGACAAAGAGCTTCAGGGGGGTTATGAAGTGTATGAATTGCAATAAGTTGACCACATGAGAGCATTTTGAGGACTGCTCAGACAGTTTTTGACATTGGCAATGTAAAATATAGATTGGATTAATGCCACATGCTGCCTTGACAAAAGTGAGTCTGGGAAAAGCCTCTATTTGATAAAATTAGTGTTTTGGTTTTTGACTTGTCTGATTAATTAAAAGATCAAAGATTTTGGGATTCATTAGGTCTGTTGTCTTTGTACTTCAAGGAAAGTTGGAGAGCTTTGAATCTTATTATTCTAATACCTTCAGCAGGTTACTTTTATCTTTCAAAACTTAAGCTTCACTGTAGTGATATTTAGTTACTAA